CAGATATTTACTCATCCTCATCTATGGAAACTGGCATTATTTGTTGAAACTTCATTGAGATTGCCAACATAAATTTTAAGAAAAGGTAACTGGCTCTCCTAAACCAACACCCAGTGAGATGATTTTGACTCATTCTGATCCCATAGGACAGAGTAGAACTGCCCCATAGGATTTCCAAGGCTGTAAATCTTTATGGAAGCAGACTGCCTCATTTTTCTTCTGTGGAGTGGCTGGTAAGTTCAAACCACCAACATTTTGGTTAGCAGCTGAATGCCTTAACCACCACAGCACCAGACTTCCTTTGTCCTAATCAATGGATTCATAAGTACTACACTGGGAAGTAGCTTAACATCCTAGAAAGTAAACTTTTATCTACTCAACTGAAGCTGGTCTATTGTGTACAGCTGCTGTGTTAGGCCCTAGCTGAAAACAGATGAATAAGATAGATAAGCTTTTCCCCCAAGTATTTTGTTATATCACAAACATGCAAGATAACCTTTAAGGCACTTGGAGAAGGCCTGACTCAATTGCCATGAATTGACTAGGGGATTTCTGCCTGACAAGGGAAGACTTGGACCAGGTGGCAGGGAGAAACAGTTTAAGTGCTTTAAGGTGTGTTGCCGTGACAGGCTCTCCATGTCTGAACTGAAAGGTGTCAAACTGGAACTTTGACATGTTCCTAGTAAGTCAATATCTTTGCTGTTTTTCTTCCTTTCGCATGTATGACTGGGCAGATCCAAGGCATCCCCTCACCATTTTCTGTACCCTCTTTGGGTGGAACTTTGGTTTCTCATCAGAAGTCCTTTGAGTGAGTATGAATTATTTCACAGTAAGTATTCTGAAAGATATAATTCAGTCCCACTGCACTGAGATTTCTCCGTGATAAGTAGGACTATGTACACAAGAATCAGCCATCCTCCTTATACACTGATAACAAGGTACAATCAAGTTTTGTTTATAGGATCTAATTTATCTGTGGCTCTCGCTGACCATTCTCCTTGGTTGACACATGATCTCTACACAGATTTTAAAGCTGGTAGGCAGGGCAGTGAGGGAAAGAGCACGGGCTTTGGCTCTTGGCTCTGCTCATGGTTAGCCTTGTGATTTTGGTCGTGTCAGCCAACCTCAAGCAAATATATGGCACATTGTTGTTGTTGTTATGTGCCGTTGAGTCAGCCCTGACTCATAGCAACCCCTCCTTGGGTTTCCGAGGCAGTATCACTACGGAAGTAGGATTGCCCAACCTTCCTTCCGAGGAGTGGATATGGCACATAGGACCCTGCAATAAAAGTTGTGTGAATAAATGAAAAGAGTTTTTCATCATCTCTAAAATGTGAATCCAACGGTCCCTCACTTGTCTCTGTCATAAAAGTTGAAATGTTTACTTTAAAAATTTTTTTTAAATGATTTTTTTTCTGTAGTGAGAATCCCTCTTTTGAGCTTGGCTTTGCACTCTAAGCCAGTATACACTGTAGAGAAAGTGTCACAACTACCACCATACAACAAAAATGAGTGTGAGAGTGGTGAAATGTGGCTCTGCTGACATTCTTAAATGTGAAGGCTAACTTTACAATTGTGATTAATCCGAAAACTGTAGCGATTATGGAAAGACGAATATGCTTGTACCAATTACTGATGACCATTAACCTAAACTTCTTAATTCATTGTGTCACATTTCTGATCAAGAGCCACCTAAAACCATAGTGTTTGATATCAAGTTTGGAGGGTGTCTTCCTATGTGCCAGATATTTGCTTGCAATTAGCTCATATGACTGAAATCACGAGGTTGAAAACTCTGCTTTCAAACAATGGACCACTTCCCTACAGAAGGAAGTGTCAATTTTTCCACCTAACTTTTGGACCTATGTATACCCTTACCTCACTTAAGTTTTCAAATGTGCTTCACCACTCCCCACAGAAACTCTCTTCCATGAAAAGGAGGTACTGTCAATCTGATGTTCTCCCTTCTGGGGTGACCCTCTTCCTTTCTCCTCTTCGAAACCTGTCTAGTCCTTTCCATGTTTCCATATCTGGCCCAAGTCTGAAATTTTTCCTGAACTCTGTCTTGACTTGTGTATTTCTCATGAACCCACTCCATCTGTGCTTCTAATATTCACCCTGACCTCACAACTTAATTATGTTCTGTCTCAAACTGCACCTGTGCATATTTCCTGTTTCCTTTGCTGAACTGTGAACTTTGGGGTGGCAATCACCTTGTGCTCTTTGCTCATCCTATGTTCTTGGGACAGGACTGGACCCAAGGTAGGATATCAGTAAAATCCTACACATATGTAAGTAATCCAGCAAAAGATTATCCTTTTATAAAATTTTTTCTTTCAAAATATTTATTTTCTGAAGAGTATTGAATAGCAAGTTGTAACCTGGTCTTTGCTGAAAAACACAGAAAAAAGGTTTTCTTCATCATTTTCCAGTTTCTTGAACCAAGGAAAAGAAAATATAATTTTATCAGAAACATCTGGAGGGTCTATCGATTTACCATAGTTGAACCAACATTTTGTTACTCAAAGTGTGGCCTCATAGCAGAGACTTCAGCATCTGCTGGTGTCTTATTAGGAATGCAGAGTCCTAGTCCTTACCCTGTTGTTATTGTTGTTGTTATGTGCCATCGAGTTGGCCCCGACTCATAGCTACCCCTCCTTGGTTTTCCAAGGTGGTATCATAGACTTGTTAAAACAGAAACTGCATTTTAACGAGATTCCCAGGTGATAGATGCACTTGAGAGTTTTGAAACACTGAAATATTTTATCCACTTAATTACTTCACCAAGGCCAAAATTTCTGGATATTATTTGGTGGGGGGAAAAAGCTATAATAATTTCTGGTGTTATACCCCCAGAGAGCTCTACCTTTTATTAGAAAGAATCTGAGCTTCAAGCTCCACTTTTTTACTGATAAGTTGGATAAAGTTGACCACACTATCTTTCAAATTTGAAAAAGAAGGAATAACGAGAAGAATAATACAAATATTGTAAAGTACCAAGTGTGACACACATTTATTTAAACATTATTACTGTTTTCTCAGGTTGACTTAAACAAATGATCAAGAATAATTCTGAAGCCATGGAAGAAAACAAATAAAATGAGACAAAATACTGTTTTCCAGGGATTTTCCACCACATACATTCAGAGGTGGTCTGTGCTATGGTCTTGTCATAGAAGACAAAAAAATTAGTAAGAGTGGGCTGTGAATACTAGATCAGTGACTAATTACGCTTTTGAACAACTGTTAAATTACAGTATACTGAGTTAATTTACTGTGATCAAACATCTGCCTTATAGAAACACAATGAAAATGACTGAAAAGAGATCCAAAGTCTCAAGCAAATGTGAATGAGACAAACATGCATGAGATTCAAAGCTGATTTAAGATTTTGAACATCTATGTACTTACTGAATCAAAATTCCAGCCCTTGCTGTCTTTCACCCTAACCGTGTCCTTCGCCTGGACCTGACTAAATGAAGAAGTCAGGTTTGTTGTCTATAGTTCTAGGGTTTTTGGAAACCTCAAATCAAGATCCAGTCCTAAACAGCAGGGAAGGTTGCCTCTGAATTTTCTTCTGATCATTGGTAAATCTCTACAGATAGAAACTCTCTATGTCCCAGTATTACAGTATTCTAGTCATATACACTCTTGGAGATAATTGATGACAGAGTTTCAAAGAAAATACTCCTACTTTACTCTAGAATAATATTTTTCTTTTTTTCAATTTATTTGGTACATTTGTTGCTTGGAAGTGAAAATATTTCATGTTGGGTCTTCCTTTTACATCCTGACACTGAGACATGGACAACATTAACGAGACATTTGTGAGAGAATTCATTCTTCTGGGTCTCTCTGGGTACCCGAAGCTTGAGGTCATCTTCTTTGTTCTGATTCTAGTGATGTATCTAGTGATTCTAATTGGCAACGGTGTTCTCATCATGGCAAGCATCTTTGATTCCCGTCTGCACACTCCCATGTACTTCTTCCTGGGCAACCTCTCTTTCCTGGATATCTGCTACACATCCTCCTCTGTCCCCTCAACACTGGTGAGCTTAATCTCAAAGAAAAGAAACATTTCCTTCTCTGGATGTGCAGTGCAGATGTTCCTTGGATTTGCAATGGGGTCAACAGAGTGTTTGCTCCTTGGCATGATGGCTTTTGATCGCTATGTGGCCATCTGTAACCCTCTGAGATACTCCATCATCATGAGTAAGTTGGTGTATGTCTTGATGGCTTCTGTTTCTTGGCTTTCAGGTGCAGTCAACTCAATCGTGCAAACAGTTCTTACCATGCAGTTGCCTTTCTGTGGAAATAACATTATTAATCATTTCTTATGTGAAATATTAGCTGTCTTAAAATTAGCTTGTGCTGATATCTCTCTCAACATTACTACCCTAGCAGTATCAAATATGGCCTTCCTGGTTCTTCCACTTCTGGTCATTTTTTTCTCCTACATGTTCATCCTTTATACGATCTTAAGAATGAACTCAGCCACAGGAAGGCTCAAGGCCTTTTCCACCTGCTCAGCACATCTGACTGTGGTGATCATATTCTATGGTACCATCTTCTTCATGTATGCAAAACCCAAGTCCCAAGATGTGCTTGGGGAAAATAAGATGCAAGCTTCAGAGGGGCTTATGTCTGTGTTTTATGGGGTAGTAACCCCCATGTTGAATCCCATAATTTACAGCTTAAGAAATAAGGATGTAAAAGCTGCTGTGAAATATTTGCTGAGTCGAAAAGTTTTTAAAAATAAGACCAAAAGAAAAATGTGGAACTTCATGTATAAAAAATAGAGATGGCATCATTGGTCAATTATTGAGGACCTTCTTTAGGGAAACCATAGTTAGGAAGACAGATCTTTAATTTTATCTTCACTAGGCCTCTTCAGCTAAATTGCTGAAAACTGTGCTCTGGTGTAAACGGCGTCCCTCAGGTTCTGATCCAGATCTCATAAATTCTGTGACTTCCTTTAGAATGTTACCCTGTAGATGTCTGAAGTGCGTGTTTCTAGTGTGCTCTTTGGCAGCATAGTAGAAAACATCACATAAAAGCCTAGAAATAGGAAAGCAGGGAAGCACTTTCTGACCTATCTGTATCTGTATTTTAAAGTGGACTTCTTTTAGACAGTTCTTAAATCCAGTCTGATAATTCATGCCATTTAATTGCTGGGCTTGTGAATTAAATGTTATGTTATGTAAATATCATTTATTTTAATGCAATTATAGTTAGATTTGTCTATCATTTTTTTTTCTATTTGTGTCTTCTATGTTCCCCTTTTCTTCTTTTCCTTCATTATTATTTTTATCATTTTTATATTTTGTAGAATCCCATTTTATATTCATGGTTGGCTTATTATTTATACCTCTTCAAAAACAAATTTTTATTGGTTGCTGTAGGAGGTATGGCCTTTCCTTTTCATGTATAATATTCTATCTCCTAATAATTTTGTATCGTATCATGAATAATATATCAACTTATAATAATGTGCTTTCATTTCCCCTCTCCTCTTTAGTGATATTGTTGCCATATATTTTACTTTCATATATGCTGAAATTCTACAAAATTTTGTTATTGTTTTGGCTTTAAATTGTCAATTATCTTTTAAGAAATTGAGATAAGGTCTGTCTCATTTACCATTTCCAACACATTTCATTCTTTCATGTGGAATCATTTTTTCATTTGATAGAATTTTTGACCACTTGCAGAACTACTTTTTAAAATGTAGTCCTATTTATTATGATCTATCTCAGCTTTTATTTGTCTGAAAAAGTCCAATTTCATATTTCACCTTTATTTTTGCTTCAACAAGGCTCCTTGTCAATTACAACGAAGGCTGCCGAAACAATCAGGATGAATGTCAGCTGCTTGATGGGGGACTTCCCAGCCAATCTGTGTAAAGATCAGGCTGTGTGGGGCACCCCCAGCTAATCTTGGTAAAGGTCAGCTACAAAGTGGAGCTCCCCAATCCATGTAAATGTTGGTTACCTGGCAGTGCTCAAGAGCCAGGGCAAAAAGGCCAAATAGCAAGTGGTTTTATATTGGAGCAGTTGTTGTTGTTGTTATGTGCCCTCGATTAGGCCCTGACTCATAGTGACCCCTCCTTGGGTTTCCGAGGCAGTATCACTACGGAAGTAGATTGCCCAACCTACCTTCAGAGGAGTGGCTGGTGGGCTTGAACTGCCAGCCTTCTGGTTAGCAGTCAAGTGCCTTAGGCACTATGCTACCAGAGCTAAGTAAGTGTGTGTATTTTTTACTACTGAGTCCTCAGTCCTCAGATCCCAGAGTGGTGCTTGACACACTGTAGGTGCTCAATAAATATTCTTGAATAAATGAGTCATGCATATACGCACACACACACACACACACAAACCAGAATTTTTGTAGCATGTAGAATTCCAGGTTGAGAGAAATTTTTTTTTTCCCCCTCAGCACATTAAAGGTATTGTTGCATTTTTTTCCAGGTTTCATTGCATCCAGTGACATGTCTGCCCATCATTATTACCTTTAATCCTCTATCTGCAATGTTTTCTTTGGCTGCTTTTAAGATTTTCCTTTAGCAGATTTTCACCAAGTTTACTATACTGTAGTGATTGTGTGTGTATGTGCATGTGTGTGTGTGTTTATATTCTTTGTGGTTTGGTGAGCTTCTTGGATCTGTGCGTGTCTTCAAATTTGGAAAATTTTTGGCCATTAATTTTCACACTTTTGGTCCTCCTCCTCTCTTTACTAGCGGGTTAGCAATTAGATGTATGTAGTACTGCTTGTAATTTCCTATAGGTTGTTCATATTTTTGTTTTTTCTCTTTTAGTTTTATTGTGGATAATTAAAGTTGTTATGTCTTCACATTTACTTATCTTTTCATCTGCACTGTCTAATATCCTTTTAATCCCACCTAGTAAAATTATGATTTAATTTATTGTATATTTCATCTGCAGAAGTTATTTTTTGGTTCTTTTGAAAAATAACTTTTAAAAAGAATTATTTATTTTGTTGTTGTGATGGAGAATATATACAGCAAAGCCTACATCAATTCAACACATTCTCTTTTCATTATGTTCTTGTTTTTCTCTAAATTGTGGGCATTGATATTGACTTGTCTGCTAATTCCTTTATCTCTATCATTTCTGAGTCTATTTCTGAAATTAGAAAAAAATGGCATTATGAGACAAATTGCCCCTCTTCTTTGCGTTTTTAGTAATTTTAGGTTTGTGTTGGACATGCTTCATTTTGTTTGTGAGTGCTGGATTTTGTGGACTCTCTTTCCAGAGTGCCTGATACGTTCTGGCAGGCTGTTACTTGCAGATTGATTTGTCATTTTGAGGCATGTGTGTAGCTTTGTGAGGCAAAGTCTAGAGTTGTATTACTCCGGAACAGTGGGTATGATTCTCTCTAAAATTGGGGCACTTAATCTTTCTCCAAGAACATTATACAATGTCTGGAAAACTAAGGGAGAAAAGGCAAATTTATAGAATTTATTGGGTAGAAAATATTCTACAGTGCACAGGACAGGACAGATCCTCACAACAAGGAGTTGGCTGCCCAAAATACCCGTAGGAGTGCAGTTGAGAAATTCTGCTCTAGGGCTAGTTCAGCCTTACTAGTCTGTGACGATTCATGCACCTTTCCTAAGTTCCTTGAATACTCAGTGAAGATCCTCTATTCTGGTTGCTTGGAGATCAAATGTCTCCCAAACTTCCGTGAGCTTTGGTTTTGGCTTATAAGTCACCGTTAATTCTTTGGGCTCATGGAATTCCATCCTTCTGCATGTTTGGCTGAGTTCTCAGCAGCAGCCTTAATGGGACCCCTTTGTTCATTTCTGGAGCTTTTTCTCTGCCTAGTTTTTTTTTTTTTTTTGTCTCCAGAATGCTGCCCTGTAAATTCAAACTGCTTAAACCCTGTGAACTTTCCTCAATGTTCTGAGACCACTGTGATCCGTATAGGATACTCTTCCCTGAACCAAAGTCTAAAAAGTAATCCTAAGCTTCTTTTCATTTTAGTCTTGTCTTCCAGGAATCTTAGCCCTAACTTGCTTGTTCAACATCTAAAATTACTTACTATATTCTGTCCAGTTTTCTAATTGTTGGTAGTGAGAGAACAACGCTGGTTTGAGTTATTTAGTTATGGCCAGAAGTAGATATTCCCACTTAGCATTTCTGGCGGCATCGTTTTTAGTTTATCAGAACACACAGCATTTATGTGGCATTCTTACCTCCTCATTTCCATCTTTGCTTTATTCTGAGGTCTATAATTAAGTATATTGAATGCATCTTTTTACTTTGATGAAGGTTATCATCTCATTGATTCTAAGAAGGGATTTTGAATAAAGCATTCCTTGGATCTTGCATGTTTAAAATTATTTTTCAGTAGACTTAATATTTGAAGGGCATCTTGACTGTATATAAATTTATTGTTCTGAGTGTGATTTTCATGATTGTTTTGGAGGTGCAAATGCAGTGTTGCCTACATTGTCTGTTCTTTTTGAGAGATATGATACTGAACTAACCTTTTGCCCTGGTCAGCTACCAATCTTGTTTCTGAGAGGATCTGAACATTTTTGTCATTACCTTCAAACTCTGTCTTTCTGGCATGTCTCAGAGTTGATTATACTGTGTTAATTTTTCCAGGAACTCAGTGAACACTTTCAGTTCTTTCATTTACAGAAAGTATTTCTAGACTTCAGTTTTAATATTGATTCTATTCTTTGGTTTTCATTTTTAGAGACTAAAATTTTAGATATATTTTTCCTTCTTTGCTTGTGTTCCATTTCAACCATTTTCTCTAACACTTTTGCATCTTATTTTCATTTTCTTGATTGTTTCACTACCTCTCTTCAATATCTTTGAAGTTTTGTTTTCTCTGTTTTACATTAAATACCTTTGATTAGTCTTCATTCCTAAGATGATTTTGTCTTTTACCTCTTATTATTTCCTGAATTCAGGCAAGTCTCTTTTTATTTCTTTCTGATACACTGTTTTATTAGTTTCTTTTTAATTTTTGAATTTATGATCCAAGGTGGTTTTGAACTTCTCCCAAATATTTGTTTGAGGGTATTTATATCAATTTATAGTTGTGTGTTACAGCTTTCATGATTTTTTTTTTTTTTTGCAGGGAAGATAAGTTGGGAGATTTTCATCGGGTGAGATATTTTGATTCTCATTTGCTATTTCATTTTATAGCAGCTTTGATACAGTATACTTACATTTATTCGTTTCATAATTTGGGATGGTTTGCAAAATTTGTAATTCAGGAGTGTCTTCTTTGTCTGCTTTATGAAGCGGAGTTTCTTTAAAGAAGTGCTTCTACATCTTCTCCCTCCTCATCTTCTGCTGCTGCAGAGATAGACGGAACCCTATAACAGCACAAGTTTGCTGAAGCCATTTTCACCTTTTGCCTTCAGAGCTCTTTGACTGTTCTCCTCCTCCACTTCCTTTTCCCCCTGCTCAGTCTAGTTTGGCTAAGTGGGAAGGAATTGTCTGCCTTCTGATACTGTGGTCCTTTTTGTTTTGCAGGACCCAAATCTGACCTTTATCGCTTCTTTCTGCTTCACCTCTCACATCTGCGTCTCCCTTCCTTTTCACTTAAGTTTACTGAAGAAAACCATGTTTTTCAAAGATAGCTATCTCAAACCACACATGCTTTGTATCTTGCTTGTATTCAGGACTGTATCCTTGGTTTCACATTAGTCTTAAACTTGCCACGAGATACCCCTTTCTTTTCCATGCAAGTCTGTTTGTCTCTGTGAAAATGTTCAATGGGATCATGAGAGATAACCTGTTGTTGTTGTTGTTGTGTG